CATGGGGCCGGGTGCTGCCGGCACCTTGAAGGGTGCTTCTCCTGCCCTTCCACTGGGGTTAGACAGCTGGAGCAGACCTGGGAGTCCTGCTATACATCGTGCTGAACAAGCAGGGTGCCTTGAGACTGTGCCTTTTTCTTTTTACTTGCTTACTCTTTTACTCATAGCCATCTCGCCTACAGCATTAGAATAAGACCTTAAGTTTTGGATACTTTCTCATTTGATTTATTAGCTTCATTTTCATTTATACTGGATTCCACTGTATTATATCTCATTCTGCTATCATGTTTAGTAAATTAGCTTCCTTTCTTTTCTCACTGCCACTGCTTTATTCCCTATCTAGGCCCACCTCCCCACCTTTTCCCTTCCCCCTTTCCTCTTTTCTGAGAGTATAAGACTGCGGGTCCCTTCATCCCATCACAGAACCAGTCCAAACTGCTTTAGATCAGAATACTATGTATTAAGAGAAGTTTCTTCAGCAAAACTGCCAGAAGTTTTTTCCATCCCTTAAGCTATAGTTCCAAATAGGAAGTCTTATTCTCAATACAGACCGAGAGCTACCTTCCAAGTGAAGAGTCGCCTTTGACTGGATTCTGAGTTATGTTTGTAGCCTATGTAATTTCATGAGCTACCAACACTTCTGCTCTGTTTTTCTGCAGTAATAGCTTGCACATCAGATAGCTGCCTTTAATTGTGAAGTTGGAAAAAAATAAAAAAAACACCACCTGTTAGGCTTGTATGATTCAGTTTGTTCTCTCTCATAGCTACAGAACAGTTCCTTCATCACAGAATAAATGAAACAAGCTATTATCCTGAACAGAAGCATTTTCGTCCAACTTTTCATCTCTATCCTATAAAGAGAATCTACTTTAAATGCCATTAAAGCAATTTGAAATGATTACTGAAAACTTTTTAAGAGTGAGGAACAGCGGAGAATTCCACCTACCTTGAAAACTTTTTTTTACTTAGCATAACTGATTGCTCTATTTTCAAATCATCTCTAGGAATATGAAGGCCACAATCAAAACTGGCATTTCTAAAACCCTTCCTATTCCACTGCAATCCATTTGACATTTCACTCTGCCTAGGACATACAGTAGAGTTAAGTACATGCCTTGGTTTTCAGAGCAGATAGCAAAAGAAAAATCTGCTAGAGACTGCTGTCAACATCTTCCAGAATGGATACATTATTTTAAGGATACCATGCTAGAAAGATTACAAATTAAGCAATTACTTATCAAAATTATGTTAAATTCAGAAGAATTTCTTCAGAGCTGGAGTTTACAGACAAATTATCGGACACAACATGAGAGCTCCCTGACTGGGTCTGTTCTGTTTCATACATGGAACTTAATAATAAACCAGGCTCAGAAAGAAAATGGCAGGGGGAGAGTGGGAAGCTTTGAATGGCAGGGGGAGAGTGGGAAGCTTTGGACTGCTTCTAGTAGAAGCTTTAGGAATTAACAATCACTCTCCATCCTTCATTCTTTGTTGAACCAATAAAGGAGGCATAAAGAATGGTCAAGAAATCATGTAACTACAATGCATGCAATATCCTTCTGAGCTTTGAATGCTGCGATTCAGCAGCATGCCTACATACATTGAGGCTTGCTGTATCATAAGAGCTAATTTTTAAAATACCCTCAGGTTTGCTGAAATCCGTATCATGCTAAATGTAATTACTCTCAAAGGAAAGACAACTAGAAGATGTGTCAAAACTGCCAAGAGGATGGTAGGCAAACGCACGACATCCAACAGTACAATGTGCAGCTAATTCGAATGGAAGTCACTTATCTTCTTGAAATCAAAAAGCTCCTTGATTATAAAAATACTAAAAAGTGCAAAAAAAAAAATAGTCAATAATGTAAGAAGAGAAATCTTAAAACAAATATCTTCTCAGTAACACCAGTATAAAACCACTAAAAAAATCCACATGTGCTGTAAGATCTGTTATCTTACATTGGTATAGGAAATACATTTCATTGGTATAGTATAATTACATTGATAGGAAAAAGGATGCTTGGCACAACAGAGACACATGGAAAGACACATTTTTCAAACTTTTTGGAACTTCTTGCACAAGTGTTTTTTCAAAATTTTTTTTTACAACCCTCAGATTGGAGAAAATAAAAAAGTATTTCCACAGCAAATATAACATCTCAAGAAGTTCTTATTTTCCTTGTAACATCCTAACTGGAAAACTGATCAGATAAGTGGACAGAGAGGTGGACTGAAAACTGGCCCAGCTGCTCAACACACAGGGTTCTGATCAGCAGCACAAACTCCACCTGGAGGCCACTCACTAGCATCCAACCACAGGGCTTCACACACTGGGGCCATCTTCCTTAAAGAAGCATGGCAGAGACAACATCCTCACCAAGTCTACATGCAGTGCCATTCAAAGGGACCGGAGCAGGCCAGTAAAATGGGCTGACAACAAACTCAGGAAGTTCAACAGCAGGAAATGCAAAATCCTGCACGTGGGGAAGAATCAACTCAGGTGCCAGGATGGGCTGGGGGATGACCACTGGGAAAGCAGCTTGGCTGAGAAGGACATAAGTTGTCCTGATGGACACAATCTTGTCTATTAGCCAGCCATTTACCATTGGGTCACAGACTACCAATAACACCTGGGACTGCAGTGGGAAGAGCACTGCTAGCTGTCTCAAATTGACATTCCATTCCCTCTCTTTAGCAGTAGTGAGATCACACTCATGGTCCTGGCTTCAGTTCTAGGCTCCCCAGTAGAAGTCTGAATATGTCTCTGAGTAACCTGAACTTGACCCACTTGTTGATTGGTGGACATTGGACTGAAAAATCTCCAGAAGTGCTCCTCAGCCTCAACTACTTCCTGATTCGATGGTTCTGTGAAATTCTCAGCCAACTCCAATAATTCATCATCACTGAAAACAGAATCATAGAAGCGCCTGGGTTGGAAGGACCTTTAAGATCATCTAGTTCCAACCTCCCTGCTACAGACAAGGATATCTCCCACTAGAGCAGGCTGCTCAAAGCCCCCCCAGTCTGGCCTTGCATACTTTCAGGGAGGGGGCATCCACAACCTCACTGTGCAACTTGTTCTAGTGTTTCACCACCTTCACAGCAAAGAATTTCTTCCTAATATCTAGTCTAAATCTACCCTCTTCCAGTTTAAAGCCATTTCCTCTCATCCTCTTGCTATCTGCCCTTATGATAAGTTCTTCCCCAACTTTACTGTAGGCTCCTTCAGGTACTGGAAAATAGATGCTTTACAACAACATTAAAATTTTTCTTTGTTAGTCTCTTTTCCATAATTACGACTTTCTTGTCAGCCTACCCACCATTTCTGACAGGTGGTTTTGTTAAGTACCTCAGTATGCAGAGGCTTTCAGCCTCTTTCCAGTCCCTCTCAGAAGGCAATCACTGGAGTTGGCTCTGAATTGTAATGCTCTATACATGCAAAAGACATTCAATCAAAAAACGTTACCTCCTCGGAGCAGGAGGTAGAAGCAAAACTGGTTAGGAAGGGATGAAACACAATGGTGGTATGCCCACCAATGATCCTCTGTCCTGACGTGCTCTCTCAGAGGAAAGTTAAGCCAATACTCAAACTGTACTAAAAGAATTAGAAAGTATCTGAAGTACACTAAGCTTGACTACAGTTTAACATTCTTAGCCATGCCTGGAAGTTATATCCACCACACTCCTTACCTTGAAGTTTGCAGCAATTCAGAAAGCCTCTCTTCCTAAACCAGAATCTAACAACATGATTTCCAGCTTAACTAATGTTCTCTTAGGACACTACTACATTAAGTTCCTAGCACTAGCAGAAGAGCAAAGAGCCTCTCTTACTTTGATGCTAAAAAAAAAAAGTTTTTGTGTAATTGCAACAATGGGGACAACAACGTTGCTGAAATCATTAGATCCTCCAGGAAATATGATTCATTGTAATAAGAACAGCAGTTAGTTTTGACCCTCCTAAGATGCCTTACATTGACAAAGAGATTCCCTTCAATTGTGAACTTCATATAAATACACTGTGATGCTACCAAAGGTTTTGGAAGTCTAAAGATCCAGGTACAAAAAAAAGCATCTTTCTGTTACTGTTATTAATCAACTCAGCTTATATATTTCAGTTTACAATCACCACAGTAGTAGCTACAAACAGACCAAAGCCCCACATTATACATAGCTGATATTTCTGACAATTGTGCAGCTCTGCACTGAGGGTATCACGTTATCAAGCACATACGGTTCCCTGATTCTGAGACAGAAACGTTAATCAGAAACATTGTTAGAAACATAATAATTCTGAGAACTCAGTGAGCTCTCCCACTCTATGACTTGGTTGCCACTTCACATTCCATAAACATTTCTTTTGAAAAATATTCCCCTCCCCGCCCTATAGCAGGGAAAACATTCAGCTTACCTGAAAATAGAAGAAAGCCTGGCCAAACCAGTAGTGCATTATGGTGATCTGTGCTGCATCAAATTTCAAAGGTCTCCAGATGTATTTTGTCATCATTGTCTGTATCAACAGACAAAATACCAAGACTGGTAAATTGTGTGGTCTAAATAGAAGGGCTGACAGTAGAACTAATCCACTATACACTTCCCATAGTCCTGTACTCTTCATACGGGAGTCTGCAGAAATAACCTGTGACTTCAGCAAATCTTTAGTGCCAGTGAAGACTATTCCAAGAACAAAGACATAAACAAAACGAGCTTCAGTAATCCCCCTAAAAAGAAAAGAAAATAATATATGTATCTGAAAAAGCAAACTAGAAGCATAAGTTACTCACTAGTATCAATTTCATAGGTCAAAAAAAGTCTTTTTCAAGAGAGATGCACAAAGTCTGTTCAGTTCCGCCAAACAGACCAAGTCCTAATGCTACTAATAGTATGGGCCCTTTTGTTTTTGTTTAATTAGTTGGCTTTGTCAAATATGCAGAATTCTAAAATTCGTTCCCATTTAAATGACAACAACTTCCAATGAAAGTCAAGCTTCTGGAGAACAGGTACCTCATTCAAAAAAAATCTGCCAAAGGTAAGGGCCAGTAGGTTTAAAAACTGGAATAAAATACTATGATTTTTTTTTTTAATTTTAGAAAAAATAATACATATTATGTACACATTCAAAATTTAGAATTCGTTATTCCCAGGAATTATTAAGATCTTTGTATATGAGTGGTGAATGAACACAGTCTTCTACAAAGGTAATACAGTTCACTCAGAAGCGAGAATTCTTGAGTCACCTGAACTTAAAAATACATTATCTTGTAAAGCATAAAGAATTGTTTCTTCATGGAGCAGAATAGTAAAGTTCACAGAGTTCTTGTGTTTCTGGCTCATGCAGAAATTAATTGCCCTATTTCAGTATTTCCGTTAATTCTGATGTAATCATTACCAAAAAGTGTTGAAATGCAGTCATGCAGCTTTATGGACTGACCTTTATCAGAGGGTGTAGCGAGAGGACAAGATGTAAGGGCTTTAAACTAAAAGAGGGTAGGTTTAGATCAGACATTAGAATAAATTATTTACAGTAACAGTGGTGAGGCAGTTGCATAGGCAGCACAGGGAAGCTGTGGTGCCCCATCCCTGGAGGTGCTCAAGGCCAGGTTGCATGGGGCCCTGGGCAGCTGAGCTGGTGGGAGGCAGCGCTGCTCATGGCAGGGGGTTGGAACTCAGTGGGCTTTATGGTCCTCTCCAACCCAACTACTCCATGATTCTATAAACTCAGAAGCAAAATTTTAGATAATTTTTGAATACTAGTCAACATTGAAAGGAGTTAAGTGAAAAAATGAGATTAACTGGTTCATGAAATTAAAACTAAAAAAGTTTTTTAGCAAGAGCACTACCCTCCACTTCAGTATGGCATATACACATCTTTTTTTATTGTACAAATCATCATTATAAAAAAACTCCAAAAAATTGAAGGCCACATTATTTCCTTACATTTTTTAATTTAGAGGTTATCTAAGCTCAGGCCATAGAAGAAGGAATATTCTTCAATTGTCTAATCCATCTTCCAGCAAGTGTCACAGCAAGAGAAAACTCTTGTTTTAGGTAAAAGGGAAACAGATGGGACATCAGAGCACTGATTCTGTCTTAAGTAAACATGAATTAAAGATGCAGTAGCTACATACAGATGAAAAAGCATCTTACACAAAGCTATCCTTCTATCTGGATCTGTCTCCCCTTCATGTCACACACATGATAAAGATACCTCCAGACAAATTTGAAGGACATTCCTGGTCATTTATCATATCAGCCATCTAATCAAGGTGAGTTTAAATTGCTATGCTAACATATCAGCTAACATTTGAAATGTGCTAACATGTCTACCATCTTAATTGGCATGCTGTTCAGGAAGTTTTGCAAGAGCCACTGTGTTTAAAGAGTCAGTGATGCTGGACAAACAATGCTCTGTTAGGCCCTGTATTACAGGCTTAAGAAGCCCATATCCTAGCATAACTAGCTCACAGGTAAAAAGTTCTGCTTCCTTCAGTAGGAATGGTTTGGGGAACATTTCATAATTGCAATGACCATTCCAATCAGAGATACTACTATTTCATTAAATGTATATGGTAAAAGAATACATAAGGACCATCAAGCCCCACCCTGAAAGCATCTTGTTTAAATAAGAATCATAGAAAATACAGACTACAGCGTACACCTGTCCCATGATGTATAAAATGAGTGTCTGGAGTCTTGTAGGGTATTTGCACTCAGAAAGCACAAAGATATTTCAGTTAAGATAATAATAAAAAAAAAACCCTCTTGTTATTTGCTCCCAGATAAACTGCCACTTCATTTCAAGCTGTGCTTTAAGTACAAGACCACTATACCTGCCAATAAAGCTTTATTTTCTGAAGCTTTGTTTCATTAATCTTGAGAGCATCTTTTAAATCACTATATAATTAGAGATTCATAAACATTTGACATGATTTAAGCACATTATCATATTCACTATTTAAGGTGAAACAATATAAAAGCCCTTTATCTTTCTTCTTGTAATTAAAATCACTACAGTGAGTACAGAATGAGAAAATTCTCAGAAAAGGCTTTTGTCTTAAGTACTCCACTTATTTCTCTAATTGCATTCCATTTGTAGCTCAATTGCTGTATTTAATGTTCTGTCCCATATTGCAGTTTTTTTTTCACTGCAACTCCAAGGACCTTACTCAAGCACAGAAATGAGGTTAAACCCAGAAACCACACATGCTTTCAAAAATACTTTCAATCACAGAGCAAAATTCTGCAGAATACAGTTTACCATTGCACCCATGAATGCTGAAGGACCCAGCAGAACTGATTACCGAACTACTCTTTATCAAGCTTCCAGAGAATGGGAGAGGTGTCTGTAGACTGGAGGAAAGCCAGTATCACCCCAGTTTTCAAAAAGGGCAAGGAGGACTCAGGAAACTACAGTCCAGTCAACCTCACCTCTGTTTCTGGGAAGGAGATGTAATAACTTATGTCATCTCTGAGCCAGTGGAGAAGGTTGTCAGCAGCAGTCAACAAGGGGAAATCATGTTTGATCAACCCTGTAGACTTCTATGACAAAGTAAGTAAGCAAGGGGGGAATGTCATACACCTTGACTTCAACAAGACTTTTGACACTGTCTCCCATAAAATCCTCATAAGTAAGGTCAGGAAGTGTGGTCAAGAGAACTGACTGGTAGAGCTCAGAGGGTTGTGATCAGTGGTGCAGAGTCTAGCTGGAAGCCTGTAAACAGTGGTGTTCTCCTCTAGCTACAGATCACAGAGCACTGGAACAAAATGCGCAGAGAGACTATGCAATTTCCTTTTTTTCAGATGATCAAAACATACCTGGACACCTTCTTGTGTAACCCACTGTAGGGAACCCGTTTTTAGCAGGAGGTTTTATGCTAGATGATACTCAGAGATCTCTTGCAACCACTACAATTCTGTGATTCTGCCATTACTTTCACACTTAGCAGAAATAACATACAATGTCAACGCTGGTACAGAATTCATAGAATCCTAGAATAATTCAGTTGGAAAAGACCTTAAAAATTATCGAGTCCAACAACAACCTAACCATACAACCCAACTAATAACCCTCTGCTAAATCACGTCCCTGAGCACCACATCCGAACGGTTTTTAAACACATCCAGGGATGGTGACTCAATCACTTCCCTGGGGAGCCTATTCCAGTGCTTAACAATCTCTTCTATAAAGAAGTGTTTCCTGTTATCCAACCCAAACTTACCCTGGCACAACTTGAGGCCATTTCCCCTCATCCTGTCATCTGTCACCAGTAAGAAGAGATCAACCCTGCACTCGCTGTAAGCACCTTTCAGATATTTGAAGAGATCAATAATGTCTCCTGTCAGCCTCTCTTCCCCAGACTAAACGTTCCCAGTTCCTTCAGTCTCTCCTTATAGGCCATATTCTCCAAGCCCTTCACAAGCCTTGTTGCCTTTTTTCGGACCTGCTCCAGCACCTCAATGTCCTTTCTGTACTGAGGTGCCCAAAACTCAGAGTACTCAAGATGGGACTTCACCAATGCCGAGTACAGGGGCAGGGTTACTTCCATAGTCCCGCTCATCACACCACTCCTGATACAAGACAGGATGCCATTGGCCTTCTTGGCCACCTGGGCACACTGCTGGCTCATATTCAGAAGAGTGTCCATCAGTACAGCAAGGTCCCCTTCTGTCAGACAGATTTCCAGCCACTTTTCCCCAAGCCTGTAGGGTTGCCTGGGGTTGTCGTAATCGAAACGCAAGACCCAACATTTGGCCCTATTGAAACTCATACCTTGGCCTGTTGATCCAGTCTATCCAGACCCCTCTGTAGAGCCTTCCTCCCCTCAGGCAGATCAACACTCCTTCCCAACTTGGTGTCATCTGCAAACTTACTGAGGGTGCACTCAATCCCCTCATCAAGATAATTAATAAAAATGTTAAATAGAAGTGGTCCCAGTACCAAGGTCTGGAGGACACCGCTCATGACTGGCTGCCAACAGAATTTAACTCCATTGACTACAACTCTTTGGGTCCGGCCATCCAGCCAGTGTTTAACCCAGCAGAATGTACATCCATCCAAACATGGGCAGCTAGCTTCTCCATGAGGATCTGTGGGGGACAGTGTCAAAGGCTTTGTCCAGGTAGAAAACATCGACAGCATTACCTTCATCCACTAAGCAGGTAACCTTGTCACAGAATGAAATCAGGTTTGTCAATCAAGATCTAACATTAGAACTATCTTCAATATTTGGAAAGATGGAGTGTATGTAAATGCATCTGTATATATATATATATATATATATATATATATATAAAAATAAATGAATGTGTGTCTATATATAGACACAAATTCAGTTTATAAAGATGCCTTATTAGAAAATCTGATGTATGTGTCCTAAAATCTTTTCCTACATATTTTTCCCATCTGCATATCTTGTGAATTTCTGTCCTCTAATTAAAAAGCCCCAAAAGAAACCACTTACATCAAATTAAAAATGAGTGTGAAAGTTTACTGCATTTATAAGACAGTAGTTATACTTGTCTTCCACGATCCTCTCCTCCTCTTTTAATGCTCTTACTAACTCCGCAAGTTTTCCACAGCTCTGATATTTACAAGCCAGGTACTATCCAATGATAAAAAGCTCCACGAGAAAACTGAAGTCACTTAGCTACATTCTGTAAGTAATCACTGGTAAAAACACCAATAAATTCCTTACAATTGCAGTGACTAGTTCTTTAAGAAATTTACATCGCCATAAAAGTCCTCAGTACGCACTGTGCAGAACAATTTTGTTACAGTCATACATTACAAAAATATTCAACTGAGAAAGAAATATATAGAAAAGCAACACTCTCAATTATTGTATAATCATTCTTCAAAACTAACAAACAGCTAAACGAACTTGACATGTTCTCTGCTAAATGTGGCAAATCTATCTAAAACAAGAGGAGATGGTGTATTTGGAGCTTCTTTCTAGCAAAAATACAGGGAATGACTACTGGATTTTCCTCTGATTAGTCGCAGGACACTTCACAAGGCTTGAAATTACACATCACAAGAACTGTGTGTCAGCCACATACAAAATGCAGTTCTATTCGTAAGAATTTGATTACAGTCTAAACATAACATCCATCTCCACCTCATCCCGATACCGAAAGTGTTAATACCTTTCTAGAAATAGATTTACATATCTGTTGATTAACTTACTTTGAAATATCTTTGCTGTCATGTTGCCATGGAAATACGACATTTCCAATGGCTGCCCGGTAACTGTAGACTCCCAGGAGCCCAAGTGCCATAGCAATTTTTGAAACCAGTGAGCATCTTCTTTGAACCAGAACAAAGATCATAAGTAGGGAAACTGCAGCCAAGACGGAGAGTTCAGACTTATGCTCAGAACTGCAGAAAAAGAAACATACAAACATACAAACAAAAAACCTTCAAACTACTGTAATTACTGTGAAGCACATTTGACAGAGCCTTAGCTACAGTAGTCTATTGCCAAATTATTGCACTGAGATATGTTATAAATTTTCCAAAAGGTATTGTAAAATATGTTAGTAGTTTCAAAAAACTGATTTTACTAATGAGGCTTCCTATTCAAGAATGCATGCTTCAGGAGGGATTGTGCTCCACCATATGCTAGCGATTCTCTTAATTATATAAAGACTAAGCTGCTTAATAGAGTAGAAGGTTTTAAACTTGAATTTTCTTATTTATGCGATTTGAAACAGTACATTTTGATTACACTACAGCATTTCGTTTCTTGAGATAAGGCATAAAAAATTCTTACATTATGAAATTAGTATTACTTTCCATTTCTAAATAACTGCACATGCATTTGTTTTGTTTAATTTTAGTCATATGAAGTACTACCTAACTGTAATGACCAGAAACATACCTACTTACTTTTAAAAATATATACAAACAACACAATATGACTCTTTTACACAACTACACCTCCTTGTAGTGGATCAATACATACAAAGAATACAGACAGAACTTGCATCACTCTTGCCAAGAGTACAGATACAGTCCCCTTCATCTTAAGTATCTATCAGTCATTACAGACCTAAAAGCATTTCATTAAGCATGCTGCTAAAAGCTGTATGTTTAAATCTATAGTGACATTACTTGGTACTGCAAAATCTAAGGGGGTAAGATAAAGATCTGCTCTTCATGCCTCCTACAGCTAGATACAAAATTTTAGGAAAGCCTTTATAAACCAGGAGTTGCTAAAATTTGCCCACTGCAAGTATTCTCAACATCTCAAACAACTCAGAAACATTAATCTTATTAATTTATCTTTTTTTAAGAACATTATTCAGAGCATGATAACCATGTGTTCCATCTCTGTCTTCCACACTTCAAAATGTCACAATAAGAAATCATCAACTTCAGTAAAATGACACTAAGCCAGGGCTGCATTAACTCTGAGCACACTTAATAAAACACCAGTTTTACCTTTGATATAATTGGAATTACAGTACTTCCAATAGGTCTACCCTCCTATTTGATGGTACATGCTTTATCAGGATTTTAACCAATAATTGTGACAGCTATTGTGCTTCGAAATGTCACAGACAAAAGGAAACAGGGCAGAAAAATTGCCCTGTTAGCCTGCCCTGCAGGACCCAGTTCACAGAAGCGCTTCGTGGACGACTCCCAGGAGCTGCACTGCTCTCTGCAGAACAGTAGAGGGAAGTGCCATGAACCAGAGCATTACAGGATATATTATGTGCCCTTGGTGTTTCTCCTCAATAGTATTTTTCTCCTACAGGAAGCGACTGAATAAGGAGTGAATGGATTCTTGCAGCATCCTGTGAAGATAGCGTATGCATAATTTCTTATCATCAGTACATAAAGAACTAATTCAGTAACCAGTACACCTTTTAAAATTCACCACAAACATTCATTTAAAAGAAAACCTTCAGGACATATCCTCCTTATTTACTGCATGACAGTGAGATAAATCAAATCAGGCAAATTATTAAGAATATTCCTACCTGAAAGATGTAATAAGCATGCTATATCCAGCAAGACTTTCAATAACATCTGCCATTCCCTACACTGAACACTGCAAATCATAGTCTATGGGGAAATTTAAAAAAAGAAAAAAGGGAAAAATAAAATAAAATCCTTAGGAAAGGCCCAGTGAAAAGGAAAGGTATTTTTAAATACATGAGCACATCAGTCACTAATGGCACATTCCTTACTGCTAGCACAGGGGTTTATATCCAGCCTGTGTCTAAATGTTTCATAGAGTATGCTGAAGAAACAAATAAAACAGGATTTATAACAAGCTATGTTGAGTCACTGTAGACCACCTACAGTTTCCACATTTACCAATCAAGGTTCTTCTAATTAGGCTGCTAAGCACACATTAAATTAGCATGTATTCTGAAAGAGAACTGTAGTTGCTCAACACAGAATTCAGCCATTTAGCAAACTTCTCAATATCAATCCAAGAAACCCATGCAGAAACATGCTGCTCTAGCTCAGCTGAAATTTAGTGGTGCTTGCCTAAGCCACACACTGGAAATCAAAGTACCAAGAGTTTCACAATAGAGAGCCCAAATTAAAAAAGCAGCTTTGTTCGTATGCTCTTACTATCACAGCCGGTGGTCTACACTTTCATACTTCTGGTGTCAGAGACATTTTCTTTGACTTGCTTCAATCTCACTTAATTCCTGCAAACTAATGGAGTGAAGGGAGTTGTAAATACTCAGATGAATCTCATTTTAAACCCTTTTTAACTGTTCACTTCCATACTGCTAGCATAGAACAAAATACAAACATGTTTCACTGCATGCTAATGTTCTGGAGGAGAGCACTTGGGGAATTAAGTACGTTATTTGACGGAATTATCATCATCTTTACATGCTGCTGCTTCTCGTCAGTTCTCCACAAGCTGATGCTGCCACTGACTACTTCACCCCCTCCATAGTGAGCCCTGTAGCAGCTCTGACACCTTTTGAGTATGAGGTCTGACCAGGATTAAACATATGACCAAAGTTATCTGAATGCTACCTAATTGAAAACCTTTTTACTATCAAATTCAAAATCTGCATGTTCTCTTTACTTCACCTATGGTCTATTTTTCTGATGCACTTATTCTCATTAAAGTGCATTTATTCTTTCCAGCAGGCTTGCAGAATCTCTCCGCAAATATCAAAAAATACTTCCGTAACTCCTGCATTATTCAACGTGTGCTGAACAGCTAAATTCAACATGTTACTGGTAAACTGATTTTTCTGTTTTGCTTCTGATATATGTCCATGCACAAATCTGTACAATAATCTTTTTTGCCTTAAATGAATGGTCAGCCCATTATGCATTGTCCAGATAAGCAAAATATTAGTTTGAGCATGACAACAGATAACCACAGGGTCAATACAGGAGGAAAAGAAGAAAAGAAAAAAAAAAAGAGAAAAGACTGAAAAGACTGTTCATCAATTTATCTGAAAAACAAGAAGTCTGAGCAGCTGTAACTCAAACTAGCAAGATACAAATGATCTGAGAAAGGTTCTGATATTACTAGGAAATATGCTATTAAGACACAATGATGCAAATTAAACACATACTAAGAATAGATCAACAATCAATCTTACAGGATCACAGTGCATTTCGGGAAGAGGAATGAGTGGTTTATGCAACTCAGCCTATCTCTATCTTTTAATTGAGGCCATAAAGAAAATCCATCATCTAAATCCTGATCAAAATACTAGGGAAACAGACACCTCTACCACACTGTTCTCTTGTGAAAGAGAAGTAACAAAGACATTGAAATCTCTAACCAAAGAAAATTCAAGCATGTTCACCTAATAGGAGTTAGGATCCTCACGAACCAGACAATGTGCAGAGATTTAGTTGACTCATTCACTAATCATTTGGAAACTTATTCTGTGAGGCCTTTCAGGCCCAAGACAGGACTTATCCCACCTGCATTTATCACTTATGTCAAAAACTGTGCACTTTAAATGCTGCTCTTAGGGTTAACTTTTAACCATATAAAGCAACATAAGAATATGTCAGAATGATGACACATATTATATCCTCTTGTTAGGCTAAAACTGCTCCTGTGATTCGTGTCAGGATATGCCAGCAGCCTGTGTAAAGCTGTAAAGCTGTTACAGTAGTGAAAGCAAGAAGGCAGAAAGGTGGCAGCCCCAATTACACATTGTCTTCATCCCCATGGTACTGCACTCTGGACTTAGGTTTTTGTTTGTCTTTTTTTTTTTTAAGGCAGAAAAAGAAGCTTGAGAATCATTAATTCTTTTTCATTTGACAGGCAAGTTGGGTTTTATAAACAAATCTTGACAATAACAGAAAGAAAAAAAAAAGTTTATATATGCTGCATTTCAGAAGATGCAGATACTGCTGCTTTTTTTGGTTTGGTTTTGTTTTGTTTTTTCAAATGAATTTGGACAGCCACAGTACTGGCTTGCAAATTCATTTTTTCCTTTACTAATCCAGTCCATATATTGCAGCAGAACATTTGCCAGTTAAGCTGCATGGTAAACCAGAATGGGACACGATCCATCTCATCTAAAAGATTAGTTTTCTGCACCACAATGGGATATTTTACTAGCCATACCAGTTCAGTTATTTCACCATACAGACAAAGCAACTGCTTTGATGGTAAAACACAGGGCTTGTGATAGGAAACACATGACAACAGGTACATTGCCACGTAAGGTAACATAT